ACATGGTACCAGGCTTGCATTTCTTAAACTATGTTCCACTGACTAGAGAAACTATCAGATACTCTGTGAAAAAGTACTCTGTGATCAAATAAATTAGGGAAATACTAACACTTCTTTCAGAGAATACTGTGAATTCCCTTTAAATTTATCTTATCTCAGCAGTTCTTATGTTCATTTGGTCATGAAACTTTCCATTTCTAGAGCAGCAAATTGTAACAATCCATAGACAAATGAGAAAATACTGGGCGAGCAAATGCCATTGGTACTAGTTGAGGGAAGAGGCTTTTTAGAGAAATTTGTCTTATCCCAATGGGAAGTATAAATTGTGAGGCTTAAAATCATCACCTTCTCACCCCTCTGAGGTACTAAAAATTGCCAAGATGCCCCCTCAATGTTTAATGTGTGTAGTTAACCACACTGCTTAAGAAGACAGATGTGCATGAGGAAACAGTACCCAGTGGCACTGGTCAATTGTCCTTTTCAAAACCACGATCTGGTGTGTGCTCCTTCCCTTGTTTCAGCTCTAAGACTTGTGAGAACTTGGCATTTTCATGACTACATTTATATTTAATAACTGTAATAAGAAACTATGTAGATATGAAAAATAAATGAAGTAACATTCCAAGTGATGCACCAACCAAAGCAAACAGAAATCCCCTGATGATAGGATTACCATTCCACTCATTTATTAAATTACCTACAAACTACAAAATCCTCTGTAAGACCAAATTGTTGAAGTGTGAAGTATTTTCCAGATATTCCAGAAATGCCCCCAGCACCACATCAAAGAGACAGAGACAAAGAATGCAGAATTTCATAAGCAAACCAAGATACCTGGCGAATTTTGAAGTTTAATACGTACTACACATGAATGGTTAGGTTTCCTATTATTTTAAGAAATCATATTAAATACATAGTATCATAGTATTATATAAATGTAAGATAGTTCTATGCATTTTTTTTTTGCAACAAGGCAGTCATTCTTGGGCTCAATCAATGGGCACCCTTATTTGAGGCTCTAAGGGAGAACATTTAAGTGACAGAATTTCACCCCTCCTTGGCAGTGATGATTCTATCTATGGTACAGCACCTCGCAAATGCCTGACATGCACCAGGACTATAAATAAATGTGGAGCATTTAGAAAATCAAACTACAGAAAATAGATAGAAAATCAAACTATTAATGTTGATTTTCTGTTATAATGTTACGCTGTTGATTTAAATCCATATAAAAGCATCTGTGATGAGACTATAACAGCTCCATAAGCTTGATTACAGGTCAAAATCTTTGGATAAATATTTCAAAACTGGGATACAATCTCTTAAAAAGTGATATCATATTTGATTTATAGAAAGAGGTAACCAACCCTCTTCTCATCTTGTAATACAACATCAAATGAAAATCTCACATAAATTTATTTATTCCCTATCTGTACTTAACAGACTTAGCAAGAGACTGAAAGAGACAGCTGAGGTGTTCTCAGCTCTGCAACAAGAAGAACCCTCATGATCATAAAGGGAATAAAGAGATTTTACATTCAAAACTAAAAAAAAAATTGTAAATTTTCTGTGTAAATATGACCTTTTTTCACTTAAAATCTCTTTATCTTAAAAATTATCATTGAAGTGTAGTTGACATATAAGATTATTTTAGTTTTAGGTGTATAATATAATGATTCAACATTTGTATACATTGTGAAATGATCACCACAATGAGTCTAGTTAACATCTGTCACGACACAATTCATTTCCTTTCCTTGTGATGGGAACTCTTTTTTTTTATGATCTATTTATTTATTTTTGAGAGAGAGAGAGAGTGTGGTGGGGAAGGGCAGAGGGAGAGGGACAGAGAGTCCTAAGCAGACTTTGCGCTGAGTGCAGAGCTTGACACAGGGCTCGATCTCATGACCATGAGATCACCCAGGCACTCCAATTGTGATAGGAAGTCTTAAGATTTCCTTTCTTAGCATCTTTCAAACTTGTAATATTACTGACTCAAGTCACCATGTTATACATTACATTATATCCTCATGACACATTTATTTCATAATTGGAAGTTTGTATCTCTTGATCCCCTTCACCCATTTTGCCCACCAATTTGTTCTTTGTATCTATGAGCTTTGTTTTGTTTTCTGATTTTTTTTTTTTAGGTTTTCTTTTCTTTTTCTGTCAGACTTATTTCACTGAACAAAATACACTCAAAGTCCATCCATGTTGTTGCAAATAAGATTTCATCCTTCTTTATGGCTGAGTCATATTCCTGTGTGTGTGTGTGTGTGTGTATGTGTGTACATATATATACGCATACACACCACATCTTTATCCATTCATCTATTGATGGACTCTTCTGTTACTTCCGTATCTTGGCTATTGTAAATAATGCTGCAATGAACAGAGGGGTACAGATAGCTTTTCAAATTAGTGTTTTCATTCTCTTCAGATAAATACCCAGAAGTAGAACGGCTGGACTCAATGATGGTTATATTTTTAATTTTTTGAGGAAACTCCATACTCTTTTTCACAGTCGCTGTACCAGTTTGCATTCCCACCAACAGTGCAAGCGATTCCTTTTTCTCCACATCCTCACCAACACTTGTTGCTTCTTGTCCTTTTGATACTAGCCATTCCGACAGGTGTGAAGTGATATCCCATTGTAGTTTTTTTTTTAATTTTTTTATTGTTATGTTAATCACCATATATTACATAATTTGTTTTGGTGTAGTGTTCCATGATTCATTGTTTGTTCATAACACCCAGTGCTCCATGCAGAATGTGCCCTCTTTAATACCCATCACCAGGCTAACCCATCCCCCTACCCTCCTCCCCTCTAGAAACCTCAGTTTGTTTTTCAGAGTCCATCATCTCTCCTGGTTCGTCTCCCCCTCTGACTTACTCCCCTTCATTCTTCCTCTCCTGCTATCTTCTTCTTTTTCTTTTTTCTTAAAATATGTTGCGTTATTTGTTTCAGAAGTACAGATCTGTGATTCAACAGTCTTACACAATTCACAGCATTGTAGTTTTAATTGGCATTTCCCTGATAGTTAGTGATGTTGAGTATCTTTTCACGTGCCTTGTGGCCATCTGTACATCTTCTTCGGGAAAATGTCTATTCAGACCCTCTGCCCATATTTTAATTGGGTTGTTTGTGTTTTTGTTATTAAGTTGTATGAGTGCTTTATATATTTTCAATATTAACCCCTTATTGGATTTATCATTTGCAAATATCTTCTCCCATTCAGTAAGGTGACTTGTCCTATTGTTGACAGTTTCCTTTGCTGGGCAGAAGCTTTTTAGTTTGATGTAGTTCCATTTGTTTATTTTGCTTCTGTTGCCACTGCCTTTGGAGTCAGATCCAAAAAAAATATCACCAAGACTGATATCAAGGAGCTTACTGCCACCTGTTTTCTTCTATGAGTTTTATGGTTTCTGGTCTTACAGTCAGGTCCTTAACCTAATTTGAGTTAATTTGGGGGTATGGGGTAAGATACTGTCCGGTTTTGTTTTTTATGCATTTGGATGTCCAGTTTTCCCAAACCCCATTTATTGAAAGAGACTGTCCTTTCCCCATTGTATATTCTGGCCTCTTTTGTCGTAAATTGACTGTATATGTATGGGCTTATTTCTGGGCTTTCTATTCTTTTCAATTGATCCATGTGTCTGTTTTTATGCCAATGCTATACTGTTCTGATTATTATTGCTTTGTAATATAGCTTGAAAACAGGGAATGTGATGCCTCCAGCTTTATTCTTCTTTCTCAAAATTACTTTGGCTATTTGGGATCTTTTGTGGTTCCCATACAAGTTTTAGGATCATTTGTTCTAATTCTGTGAAAGATGACATTGGAATTTTCATAGGAATTGCACTGAATGTTTAGATTGCTTTGGGTACAAAAGACATTTTTAACAATATTAAATCTTCCAAACAATGAGCATGGAATAGCTCTCATTTATTTGTATATTCTTCAATTTCTTTCACCAATGTCTTATAGGTTTTAGTATATACATCTTGCACGTCCTTGCTTAAACTTATTCCTAGGTATTTTATTCATTTTGATGCAATTGTAAAAAATGAGTTTGCTTCCTTAATTTCTCCTTTGGATAGTCTGTTGTTGGTGCATAAAAATGCAAGAGATTTTTGTATATTGATTTTGTACCTGAAACTTAATTTATTAGTTCTAATAGTTTTTGGTGGAGTCTTTAGGGTTTTCTATATACAAAATGTTATCCTCCGCAAATACTGACAGTTTTACTCCTTCTTTTAGAATTTGGATGGCTTTTATTTTAAATTTTTTTTTTTAAAGAGGGAGAAAGGGAGAGAGGAAGGGGAAGGGGAGAGGGAGAGAGAGAATCTTAAGCAGGCTCCCTGCTGAGCGCAGAGCCTGACAGTAGGCTCCATCTCACAACCCTGAGATCATGAGCTGAGGTGAAATCAAGAGACGCTTAACTGACTGAGCCACCCAAGTGCCCTTTAAATGTTACTTTTAATTTAGAAATCTGAAGAATTTCAGAATCATTTCAAAATGATTTGATACAAGGCTTCTCAGCTAACAATAACATGTTATACATGCATGTGTTTTTTGACCAACTATGTGAAAGAAGATTTTTGTTCCCAGGAAAATTCATAAGCCACAACATCTTGCACAAGTATACCAAGGAGGGGATAGGAAGGAACTACTTCTCTTTTAACAATAACATGAAAAATGTACAAATGTCCTTGGCTATCAAGTGAAAACAAGATGATCAAATTTGCTCCTGGTGAAAGGGATTGCTATTCAAATAACCAATATACTACTCAATAGCTAAATGTCTAATATACATAACTTTTTAAACAACAAAATAATAAGATTATTGGTAAAAATTTTTCTTTTGCCACACTAAAAAAATGTAGTTATACAAAGCCATTAAGATTTACTTTCTTACAAAAACATTGAAAAGTCTGTGTTTTTCTCATTAAAAAAGCATTTGGTAATACAAACATGATCCTTTAAGATTTTAAGTTACCTTTCAAGTCTTTCTTTAGTTTTCTGAGATCTTTTTGAAAATCTTCAAACTTCATCTGTGAGGCCTGAAAAAGGTCCTGGGGTTCTGGCAGTGGAAAAACACACTGTTCTTTTCCAGCATCCTAATTAGCAAGAAACACATAATTTTAAAACAAACCAGCATAAATATAAATAAGGACACAACAAAATGGCAATGGCAAAACAACAAATAACGAAATCGAACTATATGTAAAAACTGTCTTACCTCATCAAAATTTCGAAGATAATAGGAAACGATATATGACAACAGGCTTCTGCTATTGTCCTAGGCAGAAAGACCAAAGTAAAAATATATTTTTTTAAATATCAAATATGCAGTGTCAAGTAAAATAAATTCCAGTAAATCAATATATAAATGAGAACATTTAGAATAAAATGTGAGATCCTACATTTCAAAGTACTTCGGCCACTGCATCAAAGGAGTTTAATGGCACAGAAGATCCTGTTTCTCCCAATGTTCTAAACTAAGCTCCAAGTAGAAGCACAACTGTTCTAGGGTGGAGTCTCAACTGTGAATACTTTGCTGCTTTTGCCCTCCTCAATCAGAAAATTAGTTCATTAATTGTCATGTTTTATCATTAAAAGGTATAACTATTACTTTAGCTGAAATGACTCAATCTTGCCAGCATTTCTATACCATTTCTGGACGAGCAGGTATCATTCCGATGGTAAGACTGATTGAAATTTGTTAGTATAGGGATCAGGAAAATAAAGTTAAGTATTATTTTAAGTAAGCAGGGGCTTTAAAAATGCAAATACATATTATAAATTGCTATGTCAGCAACTGAGATTGAGGAATAAATGTCCTCACACCTATAAATAATGCAATGTGTGTATTTCTATAGGAAAAAAAATGTAGGATTTTTCCTATTCTAATGGTTTTCAAAGAATAGCTTTTCACCCCCTTTCTGGCACACTTAGGGGCATTTTTAATGATTTCTCTTTTTTTTGCATCACTTGAAATTTGTACTAGATCATTTGAATGTGGGAGGACAAATATATATATTTTTAAAAAACCTTACAACACAAACTACACCCCCTGAAATGTTCTATCTAACCATTATTTCCTTCTATTTATAAAAAGCAATATCCCTTTATAATTTAATTTGACATGATATGATAATATACCTTTTAGAGACTTCCCTCATAGTAATTTATAGTAATAACATAATAATAATATGTGATGCAGTTATACATTGCAATAATAAAAGTAATATATTTATTAGAAAGAGCATTCGCTTGTAAATAATTAAAGCAACTTTCCTTTGTCCTTCCTAACTTATAAATCAATGAAATGGTTAATCACACTTGAATCAATTAACAAAACGTTTATTAAATGCCTGCTGATAGGCATGCTGAGTGAAAATTCTGAGTGATCTAAATAACAGCTCTGTCCATGCAGGTCTACAAATAGTACTAAGAAGTAGACACAGTTATATTTGTTTTATACAGAGAGAACCAAATCAGGAAGACTTCACATAACTCTTGTGAGAATGCAAGTGAAATTATAAAATAAAATTTTGCTTCTTGATTTTATTATGCAATTTTTATCTAGATTGTTCCTTGTAGTTATTTAAATTAATAAAACTTAACTTATTGGGAGACTGAATAAGATATATCAACCAATAAAAAACAAATAATCCCTTATTCATATATAATTATAATTATTAGAATCTATTTCAGATCCATTTTTATAAGCTAAATATTATGCTGATGCTATTTATATTCCAGTGTTATTTGCAAACGTTACTTGTTTCAATCCAACAATCAGTTGTTAAGAACTATTCAAGTGCTTAGAAGAGAGTTTTTGCTTTTGAACAAATGTGCTTTATCAGGTTGACATATTGGAGGTTCCTGTGAAAACTTGTGCCATACAAATATAATAGCATCTGAACAAACATAACCATAAAAATCACAAAAATTATATGTGCTGCTGATGTTCCAAGACAGCATGATGGCTTTATTTAATTTTGGAAAAGCAGTGTGTGGGATTTCATAGAACTCAGTGAAAGAATGGTAAATGGATGTATGAGTGTATGTATGAATGAATGAGCAAATTAGTTGTTGGCCAACAGAAAAAACAATAAAAAGTATCTCTTTCTGAGGTGGGAAATTACAGTTGACGCTTGAACAATATGGGTTTGAATTGCATGGGTCCACTTACACTTAGATTTTTTTTCAACAAATATAGTACAGTACTGGAAATGTATTTTCTCTTCCTAATGATTTTCTTAATAACATTTTCTTTTCTCTAACTTACTTTATTGTAAGAATACCATATATGTTACATATAACATAGGAAATAGGTGTTAATTGGCTAATGTTATCGGTGAGACTTCTCATCAACAGTAGGCTATTAGTAGTTAAGCTTTAGGAGAGTCAAAAGTTATATGTGGATCTTCAACTGAGCAGGAGGTCAGTGCCCTGCATCATTCAAGGGTCACCTATATACATTACCTAGGAAGAATAATTCTAGTATTTCCATTTCTATGAGCCAGTCATTTACTTATATTTATAATTTTAAAAACATGACCATAATTTTCTTTATCATATAGTTCTGTGTGGAGATTCTTTTTTTATTTTATTTTATTATGTTATGTTAATCACCCTACATTACATCATTAGTTTTTGATGTAGTGTTCCATGATTCATTGTTTGCAAATAACACCACCAGTGCTCCATTCAATACGTGCCCTCTTTAATACCCATCACCAGGCTAACCCATCCCCCCACCACCCTCCCCTCTAGAACCCTCGGTTTGCTTCTCAGAGTCCATAGTCTCTCATGGTTCGTCTCCCCCTCCGATTTCCTCCCCTTCATTTTTCCCTTCCTACAATCTTCTTTTTTGTGTGTGGAGATTCTTTTATCAAAGAAAGAGAATTCTATTATTTTCTAAGTTTACAATCTCACACATTAACTCTAACCATCATAGTTGTTTCCTTAATATTATATTTTTACTGACACTCTCATAATCTCTTAGATGTTAATTTTAAACAAATACAAGTATAGGAGTAGGATCAAAAATTAATTAGGCCTGCAAAAAGGCTTGGACATCCCCACGCATACCAGTATAAAGGGGAGGATGAGATGTAGAAAAGCAGGATCATCTTTTACATTTTATTTACAACCTACTTTCACCCATCTTTGTTTTGTTTTTAAAACACAAGCCTGCTGGCCTCCATTACTTAACACAGAAGAGGAATACCATCTAATTTATGAAAATTAATTAATCCTCAGACTCCAAAAGGATACTTATTAGCAGACATGATAATGACAGAGTGAAAAATAATTATTTTTATTTTAAAAATCCTCTACTTGTTCTGCATGGAGCACTGGGTGTTATACGCAAACAACGAATCATGGAACACTACATCAAAAACTAATAATGTACTGTATGGTGATTAACATAACATAATAATAATAAAAAAAGAAACATAAAAAATATCCTCTACTCAATTATGCATTAGACATAGGATTCACAATTACTCACTTTAGGAAACATTATTCACAAAATCATAAACATATGATGGCCATATACTTTTATCTAGTTCAGAACATCAAGACCTTGGAACATAAACATTTATTACAACAGGCTTACAGTCAAACTTATTACTAAATAAAACATCGAATCCTCAATTTGCCTACATTCATTCGTACAAAATACTTACACTGCTTTTGACATCTTTCAGCTTTGGAAGAATGTCTAATCCGAAGCCATCGGCCTGTCCTCGAGTCTTATTCCCTCCATTCATGTAGTTGCCAAAAGCAAGAACCAAACCCAGGATCTGCATAACCCCTGGGCCATTTTTTAATGTCTGTGAAACCAAATAAAGAACACTTTCTTTCTTAGACAAAGTTTTTTTTAATTATCTTAAGTTAGTGGCAGATATTCATATTATACTAATAATTCTGGGTCACATCCAAACTCTATCGTTGCTTATTATTAGGGTATTTTATTTTATTTTATTTTATTATGTTATGTTAATCAATTACATTACATCATTAGTTTTTGAGTGGTGTTTCCAAAGTTAACTTTAAGAAGCAGTACCACCTACCCAACAGACACATGAAAAAGTACTCAACATCGCTTGGCATCAGGGAAATCCAAATCAAAACCTCAATGAGATACCACCTCACACCAGTCAGAGTGGCTAAAATTAACAAGTCAGGAAACGGCAGATGTTGGCGGGGATGCGGAGAAAGGGGAACCCTCCTACACTGTTGGTGGGAAGCAAGCTGGTGCAACCCCTCTGGAAAACAGTACAGAGGTTTCTCAAAAAGTTGAAAAGAGAGGTACCCTATGACCCAGCAATTGCACTACTGGGTAGTTACCCCAAAGATACAAATGTAAGGATCCGAAGGGGTATGTGCACCCCGATATTTATAGCAGCAATGTCCACAATGGCCAAACTATGGAAAGAGCCAAGATGTCCATCGATAGATGAACAGATAAAGAAGATGTGGTATATTTATACAATGGAATATTATGCAGCCATCAAAAGGAATGAGATCTTGCCATTTGCAACGACGTGGACGGAACTGGAGGGTGTTATGCTGAGCGAAATAAGTCCATCAGAGAAAGACATGTATCATATGATCTCACTGATATGAGGAATTCTTAATCTCAGGAAACAAACTGAAGGGTTGCTGGAGTGGTGGGGGGTGGGAGGGATGGGGTGGCTGGGTGATAGACATTGGGGAGGGTATGTGCTATGGTGAGCGCTGTGAACTGTGTAAAACTGTTGAATCACAGACCTGTACCTCTGAAACAAATAATACAATATATGTTTAAAAAAAAAAAAAGAAGAAGAAGAAGATAGTAGGAAGGGAAAAATGAAGGGGAGGAAATCAGAGGGGGAGACGAACCATGAGAGACTATGGACTCTGAGAAACAAACTGAGGGTTCTAGAGGGGAGGGGGGTGGGGGGATGGGTTAGCCTGGTGATGGGTATTAAAGAGGGCACGTATTGAATGGTGCACTGGGTGTTATATGCAAACAATGAATCATGGAACACTACATCAAAAACTAATGATGTAATGTATGGTGATTAACATAACATAGTAAAAAAAAAAAAGAAGCTGTACCCTCTACAAGCATTCAGGTACACATTTGTAAACTGAGAGACACCACTCTAGGTGATTTCTATGATATAATTGCGCTGAAAACAAATAAGGCTGTAATATGAGAACTACTACAAAATAATGTCGTTGCCATCATCCTAATTGTACCTACCTCTGGAGCAATACACATTTTTGGCAAAACACAGTTATAAAGATTAATTTCCAAATTTAGATTTATCCCTATAAAGTTCACACTCACTTCTTCCAAAACACAAAACTTAGCTGGAATTTGCATGTCTTCTTTCCTCTGAAAATGTGTCTTTAATAACATCTTACTAGTTTTCAAAATGATTTACCAGAACCAGAACGAATGGTACTATTGATTTTTGACAAATTGCTTTAAATGGTAATATTGGTAATTTCTGCCAAGCATTTATTCTTTGTTTTCAGAAGAATATTTATCTGCTATTGAGTCATACAGCTGTTCCTAGATTATTTGGATAGAATCATTAACAATTTGTTGGAAGCCCCTTCCAAAACTGAAGAAGAATAAATAAAATGCCTTCACATCACATCCAATCCGAAGTCTGATGTAGGAGAGGACTATGGAAAGTGAAGAGTTTGTGAAGGGACAGAAATCCATGGAGGTAGGAGCTAACAAGTGCACTCTACTAGCAGGGCCCCACGGCAGTGGGCGCCTCTGAGTTTTCGCTTTGATCTTGAAACCAATCGTGGTGTGTTCTCTTCTGTGGAACTGCTATCCTGCAAATTTATGCACACTTACAGTATATTAAAGAAAATGTTTTTGAAATATGAACATGACTGGACACAATTAAACATAAGAACTCAATCGGCAGCATTCTATGGATCAGAACCCACCTCACACAATTTCTGTAGCAATTCCAGTTTGCGACGAATTGAGCAAATGCTTTCTGAAAACGTGGACTGGAACAGAATACAAAAGACTCGCTCTGAGAAGTTGGGGATTAGTGACAGTTCATAAAGGAACCTAAGGAAATAAAGCCAAGTTAAGAGGAAAATATAATTCATATAAACAGATGTTTATCCTCCTATCATTCAGAACAATTATGCCCGGAAAACACTACATTTTCCAAATGGAAAGAGGCTGCCCGTAGCCTGGCTGCCTTCCATGAGGTCCTGAGGTGTGCTTACTGTTCAGGTTTGTCCAGAGACTTGGCATTTTCCTTGTCTTTGGAGGACCGGCCGTGCTTTTCAATTTTTTCCAGTTCATCTGACTGTGCTCTCTGGAAAAAATAATGCCAAGTGGTTATTCAAAACCTGGTGAAATGAATCCCTTAGATTATAATAATCTTAATACAGCAAAACTCTATATATTTTCATATTTCTTAGCATGTTTGCCGTAAAGCTTGACTTAATTCATGAAGGCATTTTAAAGTGTAAATATGTTTAATGCAAACCAGATCACCTCTAAACCTTCCAAATAATGTTATTGGCTATTAATGATCTGCAAAACATTTATTTATTCAAGCATACTTTAAAACAATACAGTTTTCCTCTCTTGCTTTTTGGCGGCTTGTAATACTCTCTAGAATACAAGAATTTCATTTTAAAGTGGCATGTGTTATTCAGAAATCAATCAAGTTAAATTTGGAAGTAATTTGATCCTAATGTTGTAAGATTTTTAAAGGAAAAAAGTACTTATTTAACTAATACAATCATTGTTTATGGCTTTTTTTTTTTAGGGGAAAAATAGAATTGAATTATTAAGTCCTGGGACAAAATAAAAGGTTTTGATTTTTCTTTTTGACACAAAAATGGCTTCAGGCTTCTTTTCTTCCAAATTATCTTCTTTTACCTTTCATCCTAAATTTGTTTCTTTGTAGGAGAGTTTCTTCTGCATTTTCAATATATAGTAGAAGATTTTATAGACATTGAGAAACACAAATCTATTCTTTATGAAAAATTTGGATGCTTTTTATTTGTAGTCTTGTCTTTATTTTATGATTTGTGAAGATGTTTCAAAATAGCCAAATACAATATTTCTATGCATTAAAAAGTGTGAGTAGACTACCATACCTTGAATTTGAGTCTAATTCTGAGAACTTAAATTCCCTTCACATTATTTTTTGCTTAAATATTAAAGCAGTTTAGCCAAGAACTACTGTATAAGATAAAATGTGATAGCCTTATAGAAACTAAAGATTTCATCCGAAAAATAGCTATGTTCTGTTTTTTATTCACTGATTGTTCAGGTGATAGGATTAACTAGCAAAGACTAGTTCCTTCAAATAAAGCTTCTTTTTAAAAAAAAAAAAAAAGATTTTAATTATTTATTTATTTGAGAGAGAGAGCACGGGCTGGGGAGGGAGGGTAGGGGTGGAGGGAGAGGGAGAAGACTCCCCTCTGGGCAGGGAGCTAATACAGGGCTTTATACCAGGACCCCAGGATCATGACCTGAGCCAAAGGCAGACACTTAACCGACTGAGGCCCCCAGGCGCCCCTAAGGCTGCTCATTTTAAATTTTTATTTATTTATTTATTTATTCATTTAAGTATGCTCTGTGCCCAACATGGGGCTCAAACTCATGACCCCGAGATCAATAGTCACTGAGCCAGCCAAGTGCCCCCATATACACTCTTAATAAAGGTGGCTTTTTTTCCCCCTGCAACTGAAGAATTAGAATGACCAGTAAGTGTGGGTGGAGGTGCCAGCATGTTTATCTTTCACTGCTTTTGAACCATCAGTACAAACATTTACACTGTCAAAAAAGCAAATAACAGCTTAATGCTATTATGAAAATCATTTTTATCTTGCAGACCCCCTTGCAAAAAAGTACAGAACCCCTGGGCACCCATGGAGCAGACTTGAGAACTGACATTTGGTAAAACCTTCTTATCCAACTGATGATTAAATTATCTTCAGCAATTCACCATACTCAAATACCTCCAGTAACAAAAAACTCATTGTCATTCTAAATTGATCATTACATCTTTAAAAAACACCATCCAAAAACAAAACAAAACAGCTTCTTTATATTAAACAAAAATACTTCCTGTACTTTCAGACATTGGCCCTCGGTCTACTCTCTGCGGTCAATTGCAAATTCCTTTCAAATATTTGGGAAAGTTAATTTTTCTTCTTTTGTCTTCTGTGTTAAATACTTTGGTACTTTTTATTTTCTATGGTATGAATATGAGTCTATCACAATCATAGTTGCTCTTTGAGTAGGTTTCTGATGGCTTAACAAATGAGGCACACCTCACAGTGTCCTCTCACTCTCCCATCGTACAGTCGGCTGCTCAACTCCATCATTCCAGAAAGACTGTTGCTGTTAGTGTAGTCTGAAATTAAGGACAATATTTGGAGGAACCCTACATCCTCTTAAGTTATCAGTAGTCTAAAACCTCTGAATGATTTTTCATGTTTATAGGCTCTATTCTGTTTCTCCTATTCTGTATTTATGAAATTGATTATTTTGGACTCAAGCATAACAACACATTTGTTATTTTTTTCTATATACAATCAACTATTCTAAGATTTTATAGCTTGAGATCATAATTCTGTCATGCTATGGAGCAAAAAATACTTTGGGTTAGGGTAGCTTGACAGAGCTTCAGAAAAAAGAGGAGATAAGACCTGTGTTTTGAAGAATACGCTGGCTCTAGATAGATGGAGAGCTCATCTCAAGAATTCGTCTCTAAATTTGCTCTCCTTTTTTATATTCCCCGTCACTGTTGAAGACACGGGCATCTACCTGATAACTCACATGGTCACACCAGATCTTCTACCTGGAATATGCATTATTCACTTTGGCTTGCTGCTCTTGGCTTGACTTATGAATGAACTCCTCTGGAAAGCCTGCCTCAACTGCCTTGCTCTCCATTATAATTATTCTCGTTCCAAAATGATAACACAGAACCTTATATATTTGCTTTGTTTTATGCTATGCTTATCACAGCATCTTATTGGCCATATAAATATATGCCTGCACCTTCTATTGATTGGAGCTTCTTGAGAAGGGCCATGTCTCAGGTATCTCTATGGTCCTAGTAACCAGTATGGCTTATGGTATACAGTTAGTAGTCAATAATATTTTTTTAAACACTGAAAAATTGTATCAGTAATTGAATATGACAAAAGAAGGCTCCCGAGTCATGAAGAAGAGACAGGGAAAAGAGGAGGGATGATGACCCAACAATATAAGAAGTATTGAGGACATAATGATATGCAGATAATTTCAACTATTTATCATCATCCTAAGAGTATAATGAAGGTACCTCTGAGGTCATTTGAACTCCAAAATAGATACTATGCATGCGTGAGACAGAATTAGTCATTTCAAATGCTGGTACAAAATAGGCAAATAAAAATAATAAGAGAGCTATGCCTGGCAAAAGTATATATGGATTCACTCATCTATACATTCATTCAACACTACTCTCTTGTGCCCCTATCACTCACCTCATGCAGAGATACTATGTGTGTAAAGGTACAAGAAGCAGGACTAAAACACAGTAGGTTTTTAAGCAATGGTAATCAACTCGGCAAGATTCGGCTATTCATTAATATACCATGACCAATTGTTTCTTGCCCATCAGCTTGGCTTGCTCCTTGCAAAGCATGAGAGATCAAGCAAAAGTCAGTTATCTTCTATCTGCTAAGGACCCATATTATTGTTCTTAATAGCAACCACACAATTTATGTCAAACTAGTGGTTATAAATTTGTACTAGAACCCGGTGGTCATCTGGATACTTTTGGTTTTGTTCGGCTTCAAAGTAAATTTAGTGTCAAGTGTTCTTCTCTGCTCTACTAATATGAGGTAATAATCAAGGTCAGACTTTAAAACAAATGAATTTTAGGGATTCATTAATCCACTCATTTAAAGGCTGTATTTACCAGCAGTACACCAGGCACTGGGGATAAAAATATATATAAGTTAGGCTTCAGACTCAAGCAAAATCCTAAAACATAATGTACCAAATAGCTCATAACACCACTCTTATTTGCTTAACCCTTCTGTAGCAATCTTCTTCGACTGCTTTTTATTTTTTATTTATTTTTTTATTAACATAATGTATTATTTGTTTCAGGGTGCTTTTTAAATCTATATATGACTCCCCATATTTGAAGAGGATGTTAATGATCTCACTACCATACCAATGGCGATTTGTTGAAATAAATTCATTCTTCTTTTACAGCCAAAGACATGGGCAACACAGGCACACACTTACATATCAATTAATAACATGAAGGAATTTCCAAGCTCCAAATATTCAAATCACAAACTTTCCCTCTCCCAGTCTCACTCACTTCCAAAATTAAATCATCCAGTCTCTTTCTTCACTGTATACCCCTTCCTGCACCCACCCCAATTACCTGCAGATTTGTACCAGAATATCCTTCACTCAAGATTTACTGTATTTGCCTATAAATGAAATGGACCTCCTCTAGTTACCTCCAGTTGCTGCCAAGCTGGATGTTTTTCACCAGTTACGAAAGGTTCGTCGCATTTAAAACCCAGGAAAACTCCTCACATAACCACTGGTCAAAATGAACCCCAAATCCAGGCTATCATCACTGATTTCACCATATATTTTGACCTCCACTACCCTTCACCCAGAAACCCCCTTAAACTGAATCTTGCTATTCCAACTCCTAGGAAGAAGTGTTACTTCTACAGAGAGGAAGAGATTGGGGAGCACAGGGTGGAGAGGGAGGGAAGAACATTGAGATCAACTGGCATGCATTTCCACTGTATACATTTCCACTGCCTGAGTCTATTAATGGTGTTAAGCAAATGTTTCTCAAACAGAGTTCAAAAGAACACAAACTTAGATTCCTGAGATTCATTAGGAATTGCTGTATACTATATCCATTTTTAAGACTCATATGCTAATTACTCTTAGAAGTTTTATTACTGAAAAAAACTATTTCAACACCAATCCTCACACTTAATTGATAACAAAAAGTGTGTGTGTGCAAGAGACAGACAGACAGACAGAGAAAATGATAGTAACACTCCCAAAGAACCAGTGTTCTAAGTGGAAATACTGTCTATGGCTAAAGTTCAGCAGTTCCTTTATCCAGTTTCTTTCATTTTTTTTTCCTGATTAAAACTCTTCAGAGTGTAGGAATAGAGGGAACATACCTCAGTATCATAAAAGCCATCTAGGAAAAACCCACAGCAAATATCATTCTCAATGGGAAAAAACTGAGAACTTTCCGCCTAAGGTCAGGAACATGGCAGGGATGTCCACTATCACCACTTTTGTTCAACGCAG